AAGTGCAGTTGCTGCTCCACTCTTGGGACTACACAAAGAACAAGAGCTTTCTGTGCGGGCGCCTTTGGTCTGGCAGGTATCTTCGTCCATATTGAACACCAGACCTAAACTTAAAAAAAACCCCTAAACCCAAACCTAACGCTAAACCTTAACCCCTAACAATAACCCTGTCCCACCCTAATCCAAACCTTACCTAAATCCTATCCTAATCTAACCCTAATGATAAACCTTGCCATAAATCCTTGACCCTAACACTAACCCTAACCCTAACTCACCAGCTATCTAGTGCAGTTGGCACAAAGAGCAAGAGCTTTGTGTGTGTGCACCTTTGGACTGGGAAGTATCTTTGTCTGTACTGAACCCCAGACCTAAACTTAAAAAAAATCTAAACCTGAATCTAATGTTAAACCCCTAACTGTAACCCTACCCCTTACTCTACTCAAAACGTTGCCTAAAACCTAACCCTAAGCTAATCCTTACCCCTATCCCTAATCCTAAAAGCTAAGCCTAAAAGTAAGCCTAAGCCTAACTCTAAACCTTAACCCCCTAACCCTAACCCAAACCCTAAACCCTAACCTCTAACCCCTTACCCTAACCCTAAAACCTAAGCCTAAACCCTAACCCTAACCCTAATGAAAGGGACATTGGTGACATCACTGGGGACAAATGTCATCACAGGGGACTGATGACAACAAAGTGGCAGCCTTGATGTCACATGGACATCAGTGACATCGGAGGGGACAGCGGTGACTTCACAAGGACAGAGGTGACATCACAGTGACACCAGTGACATCACAGTGGACAGCGGTGACATCATTGGGGACACAAGGACCACCCCTGGGACACCACTGACATCACAGGGGACAGTGGTGGCACCCGTGAGGACAGCAGTGACATCCCTGGAGACCAGTGACATCACAGGGACAACTGTGACATCAAATGGAAAGCGGTGATGTCAGAGGGACAGAAGTGACATCATTTGGGACAATGGTGACATCACAGGGACAGCGGTGACATCCCTGGAGACCAGTGGCATCACAGGGACATGGTGACATCATAGGGACATCGGTGACATTATTTGGGACCAGTGACACCACAGGGGATTGGTGACAAAAAAGGACAGCCCTGATGTCACAGGGAAATCAGTGACATCACGGGGACATGGAGCCACCACCGGGGACAGTGGTGACATCACAGAGACAGTGGTGACATCACTGGGGACAAGTGATGTCACAGGGGACTGTTGAAAACAAAGAGACATCTGTGATGTCACAGGGACATTGGTGACATCACAGGGGACTTCAGTGACTGCACAAGGCCAGGGGTGGCATCACAGAGACACCAGTGACATTATCAGTGTCACTGGTGACATCATAGGGCACCGGTGAAATCCTTGGGGACTGGTGGCATCATTGGGGACCAGTGACATCACAGGGATCTGATGACATCATTGGGGACACAGGGACCACCCCTGGGGCAGCAGTGACATCACAGGGCACAGTGGTGACACCTGGGAGGACAGCAGTGACATTACTGGAGATCAGTGACATCACAGAGATATTGGTGACATCAGAGGGACAGTAATGACATCATAGGAACAGTGGTGATGTCACTGGGGACACTGGTGACATCAGAGGTTGCAGCGGTGATATCACAGGAGACCAGTGACATCACAGGGGTCTGGTGACATCACAGGGACATCAGTGACATCACAGGGATATGGTGCTACCACTTGGGACAGAGGTGACATCACAGGGACAGAAGTGACATTTTGGGGACACAGGGACCACCCTTGGGGACAGCAGTGACACCACATGGGACAGTGGTGACATTCATGGAGACAACAGTGACATCACTGGAGACTGCTGACATCACAGGGATAACAGTGACATCAAAGGGACAGCAGTGACATCACAGGGACATCAGTGATATCAAACGACACTGGTGCCACTTCTGGGGACATCAGTGACATCATAGAGGACCAGTGACATCATTGGGGATTGCAGCGACATCACAGGGAAAGCAGTGACTTGAAAGGATCAGTGATGAGGTCACAGAGACAGCAGTGACATCATTGGGAACATTGGTGACATCTCATGGGACAGCAGTGACATCACTGGAGACCAGTGACATCACTGGGGACAGCGGGACATCACAGGGACAGCAGTGACATCATTGGGGATGTCGGTGAGGTCAGAGGGACAGTGGTGACATCATTGGGGACACTGGGAACACCCTGGGGACATCAGTGACATCACAGGGACACCAGTGACATCACTGGGGGCCAATGACATTGCTGAGGAGAGTGGTGACATCACAGGGACAGTGGTGACATCTGTGGGGACAACAATGACATTACTGGAGACCAACGACATCAGAACTGTCTGGTGACATCACAGGGACAGTGGTGGCATCACTGGGGATGTTGGGGATGTTTGGGGGCCTTTGGGAGGGCATCTGCCTGAGGGGTTTTCATGCGAGCACGGACAACTCAGCACACCAATGTGATGATCAGAGAATGCCGTTGATTGGAATCAAGCAGCAGTCTTTTATACAGTTTTCTAACAATACTCTTCTATCAGCTCTGTTTCTTTAACATTCTTTATGTCCTGTCCCACTGATAGCTGGTACTGAGACCCTGTTTTGTATTTCTAGTTTTGCTACTGCTCCTCTTGGTAGATCTTTCACATCCTGGTACCATCAGAAGGCCATCAGAACAGCAGATCATGTTTTCACAATTGCAATATAAGGTTATGTTCTCACAGCTGCAGCATATCCTCTATATTAGCTCTAAACTCCCTACACTTCCCCCTTTTTCTTTAAACCAAGCAGATACAGTTTGAGCCATTAAGCTGCGAAAACATTGAACCAGACATGGCAGAAAAATACACACTCCTGGAAGCAGAAAGACAACGGGTGCCAACCATTGTACAATTTGCATAAGCTGATTCTGGGGGGGCTTTGGGAGGGCACCTGCCCTTCAACACCAGCTTTACTGGGAGCACTGGGAGAAGCAGGCAGCCGGTGTGAGAACAAAAGCAGGGTCGGGGGGGACACACGACCACCCCAAACTCCGGGCAGGGATGGATTGGGGGGTCCTGGCTGGGCCCGAGGCCACGGGGAGGGGCTGCAGCCGCTGCCGGCTCAGGAGCTCTGTGGGGAGAGAAAAAGGGGTGACAGCAGGCTGGGGGGCAGGGGGGGCACACACATTCTGGGGAAGGGGGGACACGATCCCCGGGGACCCCCCTTTACCTTCTCCCGCAGGTAGAAGCCGAGCCCCAGCGCCAGGAAGACGAAACCCAACACGAAGCCCCCGACCCCCACCAGGATCTTGGTACGGACAATGTCCTGTGGCATCTCTGGGGGGAACCGGGGGGGTCAAGACCCCCAAAACCTCCCACAGACCACCCAGGACCCCACAAACCTTGTCCTGGTCTCCCCCAGCCCACCCAGGACTCTCTGAAACCTCCTGCCAGTCTCTTCCCAGACCCTCCAGGATCCAACAAAGCCCCTCCCATCCCCTTTAGCACCCTCCAACTCCCCTCCCATCACCCCCAGGACACTTCTGAACCCCTCCTGGTCCCTTCCCAGCCCTCCCAGCACTTCCTCAACCCCCTCCCAGTCAACACAACCCCCCCCCCACCTCCCCCCATCCCACCCGGGCTCCCCCAAACTCCCTCCCAGTTGCCTCCAGGACTCGCCACAGCCCCTCTCAGCCCTCCCAGGACACCCAAACCTCATCCTCAGCCTCTCCATTGCCATTGCCACCTAAAGTGCCTCCCAGTGTCCCCAGTGCTCCTCCAGCCCCCCCTGCCAGTGTCCCCCCATGCTGGGGAGGCCGGGCCGTACCCCAGTGCCGGCTGAGGGGGTGCTCCAGGCTGACGTGCTCCACCTGGCAGGTGTAGGTGACCCCGCGCCGGGGGGGGATTTCCAGCATCACCAGCACCTGGTAGGTCCAGTCCCCGTTGGGGACCACGTCGGTGGCCAACACGTGCTCCGGCAGCTCCTGCCCATCCTGGAACCACCTCACCTGCACCGGGCAGGGTAGAAATCCATCACGGAGCAGAGCAGGGGCTGGGGCCGGGCTGGGAGCTTGACGGCACCAGCAAGATGGACACGCTGGGGGGCACTGGGAGAGACGGGGGAGACACTGGGCTGAGCTGGGGGGCACTGGGAGAGACGGCAGAGGGCTTGTAGGACATTGGTAGGCGTTTGGATGGCATTGGGATGGTACTGGGCGGGACTGGGGTAGAAGGGGATGGGCTCTGGGAGTCACTGGGGAGAGAGTTGGGATATGTGGGAGTGAACTGAGAACGACTGGGAATGGACTGAGAGGGTCTGGGAGTGGAGTGAGAAGGACTGGGAATGACTGGAAGGGACTGGGAACGCACTGGAATGACTGGGAAGGAACCGAGCGGGACTGGGAGGCCGAGTCCTGAAAAGGGAACTCTGCGCTGCAGGTCTGCCCGGCAACTGATGAGTCATCGCAGAGACGCGCTCTGATTGGTTGAGAGGAGGGAGGGGTGGCACCAGCGGGGTGGAGACGCGGGGGGGCATAGGGAGACACTGGGAAGGATTGGGGGACACTGGGAAAAACTGGGATGGGTCGCAATGAAATGAGGGGAAATGGGAGTGGCTGGGATGGAGTGGGATGGACTGGGGGGCACTGGGATGGGGCCCAAGGCCAGGGGCATGGGCACAGGAAGGGCTGGGGGGTCTGGGGGGATTCCAGGGAGGGTTTCAGGGGCTCCAGGGTCGTTCCTGGGACAGGGGAATTCCCGAGGGGACCCGCTCTGCCCCGTGCTCACCTCTGCGGTTCACAAGGAACGGGGTGGCGATCTGGTAGCATTTCCGGCAGAACCAGTCCACCGCAGACCGTTTGTACTCCAGAAACTCCTGTTGGCTGTTCCCGTACCTGGCCAGGATGTCCCCACGCGGGTTGTCCCCCACAAAGACCCCCACGTCGCTGTCGAAGTGCACGTACTGCTGCCGGTTGTAGATGTACCTCTCCACGAACCTCACCCGCTCGGTGCCATTCATGAAGTAACACTCGCTGGTAGACAACTCCTGGAACACCCCTGTGTGTGCAGGACACGGGTCAGGGGGTGCCCCCCCCATCATCCTCCAGCCCCCCATAGCAGATTGGGAGCTCAGGGAACCACCTCGGACCCCCCTTTCCCACCCTCCTCTGCCCCACGGCCGCCGCAGCACCGGCTCTTGGCTGGGGGGGAACCCCCTCATCAGCCCCCCATGGGTGGACAGGGGGGTTGGGGACCCCCCCCAGTGCGGATCCGACCCCGCCCTGAGCCCCAGGGAACCGCTGCAGGGCTCCAGTGATGGGGGACACCGAGGGTACCCCTCTTCCTTCTCTCCCACCCCATTTTTCCCCCTCTCCCACAATCCCCCCAATCCCCAGAACCCCCGGGCTCCCACTTCCCTCCCACTAATTCCGGGGGCTCCAACTCCCCTCGTGCTCACTTTTGGGGCTCCCATCCCCTCTTTTCTCTCCTCTTTCCCCCCAACC